CTCGCTCAAAACCCACTGGATTTTGAACTGTGCAATCTTATTGCTCTCCTGGTACTTGTAAATTCCAGGTCAAAGAGGTGGAGCACAGGTCGCATGGGTTAGGAACATGTTCTGGCCCGCCCCCAGGTAGGCTCAGGATGGCCCAGAAAAGGGCCTAGGGCCGAGGGGTTGCTTCCCAGGGCCCTCGGCATCTGTCGGCGTCGGGCGTGATCTGCCCTCAAAAGCCACGCCGTGTGACTTGCTCGAGTCCATCCTAGATCCCATGGGTGCATCTGACACCTCCTTGGTGGAAACAGACCTTCAGTCCAGATACCAATGGAAAGTTCGCTCGTTTTAGCTCCGATTCTTGCCACTCTGTTTAGCTCCGATTCTTGCCACTCTTTTTCCTGTCTGCCTGCCGGCTCTTTGTTCTCAACTCTCACTCTTCAGCCGCGTCTTTTCGCTCGTACAATGCTAACTCCCCCAAAGTGAAATGCATCCCTGTGTGGCAGCCCAGCATCGTGTCCCTCTGAATGGCCCTCAAAAAGATAGCTTGCTTCGCTCATTTTCGCTCGTTTCGCCTTGCTAGCCTCCTATCCGCTGCTGGCCTTACTGGCACTAATCTCGTCGTTCACTCCTGGTCACCAGATCCCTTGCGGACGTGTGAGCCTGCGCTGCCACTGTGGGAGCACTTGTGATTGACACAACACAATCACAAATCACATGGTGGTTTCCGAAATTAGGGGTACCTTCTTGGGGTCCTTGTTATAAGGGGATCCGACTATTTGGGGATATTTTGTTGGGGCTCCCTGGCATCAAATCAGCACGAGAAGCTCGGCCCTTCTGAGCTCCTGTTGGCTGGATCCAGAGAACTTCTGAGCCTAGGCCGAGTCAAGCCCGCCACACTGTCTGCGTTAAAGTTGAGTGCAGCATGCCACTCGGACAGCGTGGCAGCACTGCGCATTGCAAGCAAGCCTTGCTGTTGGAATGCCATGGCCCAAGTGGCCCTTGGGGCACTGCACATCCAGCACCTTCCGAATTTGGTACATGGAATTTGGCTGAGTCAGGTGAGGTGGACCGGCTTGGACCGCGTTGTGACCCTGAAAAGTGGCACGCTTTGGCACGCCCTGTGCGCGCGATCTCAAGGTGGTACACTAGTGGTACACCTCTTTTTTATCATCAAGTCCTGACATGTGCGACCCCTTGCCGTATCGCCGAGGCCGAGTTGAGAAGGATGGTGCTCCGGCAGTTAACAGCATGTCGCACCTTCACTGAATGACCAAGCCATTTCCGTAGGCCAGTGACATGGGTATTTAGAAGCCCTAGGAATCCTTCCGGGATCTCCTGTGATCAGGAATCCGACGAGGGGTGTGGCAGCGTTGTATGGGCCAGCAGCTCAACTCAGGAAATCTTGCGGCCTGTGCACGCTACGAACCTTGCGCCTGCGCTCGCATCTGACTTGTCTTGTATAAGCTTTGCTCTGCAGTTGCGTGGCACATGTGGCTTGAGCTGACAGCTTGCACATTCGCCTGCCTGTCCACGTGGGCAAAAAAAATTCGGATCCTAAGAGACATGCCTTCATGTTCGCGTGAAAAGACTCGTGTTGGTATGCGGCCCGTTCTGCCTGAATAGTCATGTCATATAGGGTCTACAATGGTGGGTTCAGGGTCTGGCTGAGGGGAAGTCATGTCACAACGCCCCCCTCCCACCCGAGCGAAGGAGCGCTGCCTGGAAGTGATTTGTGTGGCCGGACTACCTGAAGGAGCGGCGCTGCTGCGGTTCTCTCCCGGTTCTCTGAGCGTTGTTTGTCTAGAATGCCTGCGCAGGTCCTGTAGGATAGGAGCTCCAAGATCAGCGTTCTTGCGGCCGTGGTTGATTTGCCGGCCCGGCGCGACGCATATCTCAAGTCTCAAAGCCAATTCTCCTGGAAAGATCTGCAAACCCGGCTTCAATCTGTCAGATCCGGCTTCAGTTTTCGAGGGTCCGTCCCCGAAGTTCCACACTCCGGATCCCTGATCCATAGTGATGTCCAGTGACTCGGGTGATACAGACTTGTGCTCCCGCAAGTTGGCTGGATCTCCGCATGGTTGAAGGGTGTGTGCAGGGGTCTGTGTCTCTGGGTTTGGCAGCTTTTGCTGAAGCACCTCTGAGAAGGGCCCCCGCGGAGAAAGTACGCAGCTCTAGCGGTGGAGCTCACTGAGTTTTCTTGGGCTGATTTTCGCTGTCCAGTGGCATCTTCCCAACATGATGGGGTGCGGGGATGTTGGAAATAGCTAGGTACAGCTTTGCAAATCCACCTCCCATTCCATCTGGTGAGCCGTTGTTGGAAAATGGTTGATGGAACGCAGCAGGAGCCACAGGTCTCGGCTTGGCACTGGTTTCGCCAACCACTGAGTGGCCCGCGGGCTCCAGCAATAAACTCGCGTCCAGCCATGTGTTGCATGTCTGCTCTGTCCTGAAGCTTGGCTTGTCCCAGGCTCGGCCGTGGAGCCTCTGCTGCGATCACTCGCGAGTCAAAAGGTTTCGCTGCTTCTGAAGTGGTGTGCTCAGAATGTCAGGAGATGTCACGGGACGATGCGGCAGATCCCGGCAGATCATTTGAACCTGTTGGGTGGGCCTGGAGTCACCCTGTGACACGGGGCTTGAGAGAGACACACTGCTTCTGCTTCTTCTGCTTCAAGGGGCTGTGCCGTCTGATGCAGCTTTGCAAATCCACCTCCCATTCCATCTGGTGAGCCGTTGTTGGAAAATGGTTGATGGAACGCAGCAGGATGCACAGGTCTCGGCTTGGCACTGGTTTCGCCGACCACTGAGTGGCCCGCGGGCTCCAGCAATAAACTCGTGTCCAGCCATGTGTTGCATGTCTGCGCTGTCCTGAAGCTTGGCTTGTCCCAGGCTCGGCCGTGGAGACCTGCTGCGATCGCTCGCGAGTCAAAAGGTTTCGCTGCTTCTGAAGTGGTGTGCTCAGAATGTCAGGAGATGTCACAGGACGATGCGGCAGATCCCGGCAGATCCTTCGAACCTGTTGGGTGGGCCTGGAGTCACCCTGTCACAACGGGCTTGAGAGAGACACACTGCCTCTGCTTCTGAGATGTCACGGGGCGATGCGGCAGATCCCGGCAGATGATTTGAACCTGTTGGGTGGGCCTGGAGTCAACCTGTCACACGGGGCTTGAGAGAGACACACTGCTTCTGCTTCTTCTGCTTCAAGGGGCTGTGCCGTCTAGGTACAGCTTTGCAAATCCACCTCCCATTCCATCTGGTGAGCCGTTGTTGGAAAATGGTTGATGGAACGCAGCAGGAGCCACAGGTATCGGCTTGGCACTGGTTTCGCCGACCACTGAGTGGCCCGCGGGCTCCAGCAATAAACTCGCGTCCAGCCATGTGTTGCATGTCTGCTCTGTCCTGAAGCTTGGCTTGTCCCAGGCTCGGCCGTGGAGCCTCTGCTGCGATCACTCGCGAGTCAAAAGGTTTCGCTGCTTCTGAAGTGGTGTGCTCAGAATGTCAGGAGATGTCACGGGACGATGCGGCAGATCCCGGCAGATCATTTGAACCTGTTGGGTGGGCCTGGAGTCACCCTGTGACACGGGGCTTGAGAGAGACACACTGCTTCTGCTTCTTCTGCTTCAAGGGGCTGTGCCGTCTGATGCAGCTTTGCAAATCCACCTCCCATTCCATCTGGTGAGCCGTTGTTGGAAAATGGTTGATGGAACGCAGCAGGATACACAGGTCTTGGCTTGGCACTGGTTTCGCCGACCACTGAGTGGCCCGCGGGCTCCAGCAATAAACTCGTGTCCAGCCATGTGTTGCATGTCTGCTCTGTCCTGAAGCTTGGCTTGTCCCAGGCTCGGCCGTGGAGACCTGCTGCGATCGCTCGCGAGTCAAAAGGTCTCGCTGCTTCTGAAGTGGTGTGCTCAGAATCTCAGGAGATGTCACGGGACGATGCGGCAGATCCCGGCAGATCCCGGCAGATCATTTGAACCTGTCTTGAATGCCACGGAGCAGTCGGAAAACTTGTGCGGAGCGGCCGGCGCCAGCGGAGCGCCATCTGTGGCTCTGGTGTGCTGTGATCTCAGGCCTCGCACGGTGGGGAATCGAACCTGCCCAAGCGCGAGACCTTGCATCACAAGTGCGGCTCCTACCCGACTCATCCGACTGAAGGTCGGGAGTGCTGCGGGCCAAAAAGTCTCGTCGAGTTCTCCGTGGTGTTGCGCACATGTCGTTAGACGTGCATACAGAAGTCTGGAATTCGTTTTCAAGGCTGCGTGTCCGCCCGCCTTCGCAGAAGCTGCTAGGGTTTAGGTAGCGGTTCCTTCACATTTCACATGGGGCCAGGGTTTCTTTTTGTCTCAGGTCTTGTGGTCTTGTGGTCCTCTGGTCCTGTTGTCAAACGACTTTACCCTTACTGAACCCCATGTAGAATGAACAGCCTGTTGAATGAAGGGTGTCGACACAGAGCTGGCTGAATCCAGCAATGCATTTCACAAATCTAGGAGAGAAGAATGGGGCTTAACAAAAGGAAGAATGGGGCTTCGGAGTGAAGAAGAGGCGAGACCAGATGGTTCCCCGTACCACGGAGAATCTGGAGAAATCATATGTAGGACTTTGTAGAACAGAGCAAGCCACGGGCTCGGAGTCTCAGATCTTTCCCGAGGGAACCTCACAAAGATGAACAACCTCCAGATTCAAAACGTTCCTTCTGCCCTAAAGCAGCGTTTTCTTGTAATCGGCGAAAACATCGCTGGTTTGCTTAGCAAGCTTTCTGAGCAACGTGAAACCTCGATGTGGCCTAATCTTTCCTCCAGGGAGCCGTGTTCGCTACAGATCGGCGTCTCCGAACACAAAAAGGAATGGCACCTGTCTGTCTCTCTGTCTCTCTGTCTCTCTCTGTGTGTGTGTGTGTGTGTGTGCGTGTGCGCGCGCGCATTGTGTGCGGAGTGACATTAGCGAGCGTCGGAATGCGCAGAATATGCGGCTCGAGTCAGCCCAGATCCGCCAGGAAATTTCGCAATGTGAAGGCAATGGCTCGTGTTGGTGCAGCTCGCGCCTTATGTGAATGTGAAGTGGCGATCGAGTGCTTCTTCGACTGGCCGTTTGCCTGCGCCGTCATGGGCTCGATCCACCGCAAGCCCACTTGGAAGTTTGAGCAGTCGAGTGAGGAGATACGTGTAGGAGGACCTGTAAAACAAGGGACCTGTAAAGCTAAATGCCGCGCGCCTTGTTTGAGCTGTGGTGCTGCATTCTTGCGTTGGGCGTGTAGGTGTGGTTTGCTTCGTTTCTCTGATGCACGTGCGCGGGCAGTTCGCTTTTGCCCTGAGTCACAGGTTGCGCAGCCTGAACGTTGTAATCCTTCTGCTCGAGTGGCAGCATAGTTGGTGGATTGTTGGTGGTGTGCAACATTTCGCCCATGGATTATCCAGACACCTTCGCTGGACTGGCGCTGGCAGTGGTTGATTCGGGAGTGGACCCGGAGACGCTCCTTCAGCTAGAGACTTGCAGTGTGTGTAGTGTCAGTGAAGCTGTGCGTGCGTTAGAGATGAATCGACTGCCGCCCGTGCTGTCGGCTTCGGTGCAAGCAGTGCTTACTTTGGCGTTGGGGCCAAGTGCGGTTCCGGCAGTCCTGGGGCCGCCTACAAAGATGCGAAGGAAGGATCTTCCAGTGGCGCAGCCGACAGCTGCGGGCTCCCTTTCAAAAGCACTGGCGTCTGCCCAGCCCGACGCAAGAGAGGCGACGATCGAGCGCTTCAGGCGAGATATTTGGGCCCCGAGTAATCAGGGCCCGCCCGCGGCCAGGTGGAGAACTTGGGCAAAGGTGTGTGATGCGTGGGCGATTCCCGCCCTGCCATTGACGATGGACAGTGTCGAGAAGGTTGCTGCCGCCCTGAAGGAGGGAGGCTACAGATCAGCGCGTCAGTACTTTGCTTGTGCGCGTAGAGAACAGGTGCTTCAGACGAAGACAGATGTGCCGCCAGAGGTACTGCTTATGATGCGCGATGCTGTCCGCTCATTGGAGCGTGGCGTGGGAGGCCCTGCCCTGAAGGATGCGTTTCGCTTTGAGGAGGTGGTGTTGCCTGAACGCCGAGATGTTTGCCTTTTCGTGTTGGGCTGTTGGTTCTTGATGCGGGAGATTGAAATTGCAGCAATGCAGAGAAAACATTTCCCGTTGGATCACGAGCGCCAAGAAGTGGTCCTGACATTAGCTGCCAGCAAATGCGACCAAAAGGGAAGCTTGGTCCTTCGTCGACATGGTTGCTACTACGAGCATATTCCTGCGAGAATGTGTCCCTTTCACCAGGCAGCGGCGTTTGAGAAGTTGTGCCCAAAGAACCCTGAAGAGCCCTTGTTTATGAGCAGCCACGGCGGTGAGTTGTCCAAGAAGGAGACGATCAGCGTCATCCGAGGCATCCTCTTTGAGAGCTCGATGGTGTTGAAGCGTGCAGGAGCTCGAGGACAAGGATCCTTGGAGAGATTTCGCGGCCACGTGTTGCGAGTTTCGGTCGCGCAGTTCTTGGCAAGGCGGCTCGTTCCCCTTCCCACGATCATGTTGCTGGGTCGCTGGGGATCCCGCGCTGTGGAGCGGTATGTGCAAGACCCGCTTTGGAAACCTTCTCGATCAGCCATGAAGCGGTGCCCGAATCACAGAAGATGCGTGAGGGTGACGTGAAGCAAGCTCAGCATGTTGTGGTGCTCACGGAGAAGATCGAGGTCTTGGCAGCGAAGTTGGAAGCGTTGCAAAGTCGCCCTCCTCTAGTCGTGGGGAAGCGAGCGCACGCGCGGGACCCGCGCGAAATGGACAAGCTTCCGGTCATGTGGAAGACAGTCTGTGGCTCATGGCGATATGGGTGTGCTTCTTTTCTGAGAGCAGGTGAAGATCATGAGGCCGCCCGTTGCCTCCGATGCTTCCCTCAAACAGCGGGCTCTGTGGACGAGTCCAGAGCTTCGTCGGCTAGCGAATCGGAGGATTCCGGTTCTGAGACAGAGTCCTCTTCTGAGTCGAGTTGTTCTAGCTAGATGCAGTGTGCCGTCAAGGGGCGCCGCGCGTGCGCTGGTTACAATATAATGTTGCTCAGATATCCAACAAGAAGCGCCGCGCGTGCGCAATGGCTATCAAAAGTGGAGGTGCGTGATGGCTTGCAGAGGGCGTGCCTCATGATTGCGACCAACAGCGTGGGATGCATGTGGAGCTGGTAATGTTACAGAGTCTCTTTCAAGTTGTGATATGACCGCAGTTTGGCAGCGTGCTGACCTTGCTCATGTTTGCAGACGCGTGGTGGTGTGCCGGAGCTTTGCTTATAGGTAGCGTTCGAAGCAGAGTATAGATTTCCCTTGAGTTCTGTCCGCAGGCAATGGCCGAGGCGTTGGCGTCATTCAAACAAGCAATGGCTGAAGCGGGCTTGCCGGACAACATACAGAAGTACATCCTGAGCCGAGACATCAAGTCGGTCGTGGTGATGGCGTCTATGGCAGGCAAGTTGGAGGACGTGGACACCGTCTTGGCGGCGCCGCTAGAATCCGAGTTCAAGCTTCCGGGTGGAGCTGCCATCAAGTTGTCACAGCTCGAATTCCCTGTGGTGAAGGCCAAACTCCGTTACCTGTGGCGCAAATGCCACAAAGAAAGCAGTGATCCTGAGCCCGCGCCTGCGACAGCAGCAGCAACCACAGCAACAACAATGCCATCCTCGAAGTCGTCACCCAAGGAACTGCCAAGCGGCTATTGGCAGCAACAAGTTGCGAAGTATGAGACCATGAAGATCGGAAGTGATGCCCGGCGATTCCCGCAGGAATTGCTTATTGGCGCGGAAGCAGTTGTTGCCCACGCGGTCCATGAGATGCGTGCCGAGAATCACACGGCCATTGGACTACATGAGGTAGTGCAAGCCCGGTTCTTCGAGGCGTCTGGCAAGCCCAACCCGTTGTGTCCTGCCAAACAGAAGAGCAAGTCGCAGTCCGCGGTGCTGACGATCAATTCCGACTTTCAGATCGAGACCGAGGCGGACGCGCCTTGGCAGCCTCGCAGTGTGTTGCAGTTCTTGGATTGCTTGGAGTCCATCCGCGTCCTCATGATACTCGTGGAAATGGGCAGTTTTCTAGGTACTTCGACTGGTTCGAGAAGCAAGTGCGCCACCAAGCTAGCTAGAGCAACTGCGGTTGTTTTGGGAGAAGACCTCGTGGCGGATTGCTTTGGCGTTGAGGGCGAAGCAGAATTCCAAGACTGTCACTGAGGAGATCATCCTTGACAACCAGGAGCTCCAGGACGCCCTTTCCAGGGAGGTTGTTCTTGTTGATCGTGCTGGGCGTCAACAGCGCTACCGGAATGAATGGCATGATGCAGACCGCTTCGGCAAGGGCAAAGGCAAGTCCAAAACGAAGAGTCGTGCCGGCAAGGGTCATTGGGACGACTGTCGCTGGGAGAAGCCAGGAAAGCGCCATGAAGGATGGCGCTATGAGGGATGGCGCCATGGCCCGTACACCCAGTGTCAGGGCAAGTGGTTGTTGAGTTTTTGGAGTGGTTCTCCTTGATCGCAGCGAAGAAGGAGTAGGGACAGCGCGGACCGTCCGAATTGCCTCCTGTCTCGGACGGACCCGACCTAGCTGCGTTGCATTCAACGGTCAGGCTTGTCCCAGCGGCTGAGATGGAGCAAGTGGAGAGTGGGAGTAAGCGTGGCGCTCGTAGGCAAGGTGATCATCGTGAACCACTTCCTCGTAAAGCTCGCAAACGTGACAATGGTCAGAGTGGGCGAGTTGATGCCACACTCTTGAGCTTCTTCGATGGCATTGGCACTGCGGCGCTCATCTTTAAGCAGGTGTGCGATGAGAAGTCGTGGAGAGGTCACATGTTGTTGTGGGAGTCTGACGAGGACCTAGCCGCAGTCACTGCAGAGCACTTCCCCGCAGCAGAGCAGCGTGGGGACCTTGATAGCGATTGTGCTGCCGACATTTTGGCGCGCCTGGAGCAAATTGACCCGGAGCACGCTGCGACCATCATAATTGCAGCCGGTCCCCCTTGCCACGAGTACAGCCGCATTCGTGCGTCGGCGCCTGGCGTAAATGGTGAGGAAGGCTCGAAGTTCGTTCGCTTCGCGAAGCTGGTGAAGGAACTGGAGGCAAGTTGGCCCTGGCCGCAGGCTGTGCTGATTGTGGAGAACGTCCTTCCGCAGAACAAAGCCGATGTCAGGGCGCTGGAGCAAGCGTTGGCAGCCTCAGCAGTCATGCATGACTCAAGCGATTTTGGCGTCATCGCTCGGCCAAGGCTGTGGTGGACCCGGATTCCGTGGCAGCAGATGAGTCATCGCTCTGATTGTCCGGCGCAGCTGCGTTGGGCTACGCATCAGGGTATCCCTCGCGTCACTTTTGTTGCCAGCCCCGACAACCTGGATGACTTTGACTTGCAGGGAATGAAGTGGCCAAGCGTGCTGTCCGACCGTGCAGGGGTTCTGCCATGTCTCACGACGCCCTCAGAGGATCCAGCTGGACGTCCAGCGCCGCGGAGCAGCAAAGGCAAAGTGGATAGCCAGACACAGGCACGGTGGCTTGGTGACAACCGGCGCTATGCGCCGTGGCATTATCAGGACAAGAACCTTTTCGTGGACGAAAAGGGGGCTTATTGCCTGGCTACTGCAGACATCAAGGAGCAGCTTCACCATTTGCCTCGTGGCTGGACACACAAACTGAGCGACAGGGCTCGTCATCGGGCGGCAGATTCTTCTTCCTTTTCGGCATCTTGTCAACGACGACGGAAGCAATTCGTGAGCAGCCGAATCCGCTGGGCTCTGATGCTTTTGAGTGCATGGTGTGCATCTGGGAGAAAGCGCCCCTTCTCAATGGCCCAGGCGTACCAGTCCTGCGTGAAGCAGCCGACCTCTCTGCGATTGAAGATCCAGAGGACCACTGGAATGCCGCGCTGCAGTGTTTGCACCCGGCCCAGCAGGCGCCGCAAATTGAACCGGGTCTCCGGCAATGGCTTCCAGTGTGGAGACATTTCCGTGCGGTGCTGCCAGAGTTGCTGAGGGCTGTGACCAAGGCTGTCGAAAACATTGTGGAGGAACGTGAGGCCGATACCCTGACATGGTTTCGGCAAAGGCCCCGACATATTCAAAAGGCGTATGAGTCTAAGCAAGGAGAACCTAGCGTGAAAGTGCCGGTGATCCGCGAACTTGCAATGCGTCTTGGTTGGAAGGACGAGGCCATCTTCGAGGAGATGGCCAACGGCTTCAATCTCTTGGGACCGATACGTCCTGGACTCGGATGGAGACTTCGCTGTGATGGCCGCTACGACAGCCCGGTGACGATTCAGGACTTTCTCAAGGAAAACTTGAACTTCGTAAAGGCCAAGTTGCGGCGTGCGCGTGTGGATAAGGACTGGGAGGTGATGGCCGATGAGATTGCCGCGGATGTCAAGCGAGGCCGAATGGAGGGACCTTTCTCCATGCCAGTGTGTTGGGGTGCCACGGCTGTTCCCTTGCCCAAGTACAAACATAAGGCCCAACTACTTCCTGGACCTGTTGATCATGTGCCTGGCTGCTTCGCGTTTGCAGTGCACCAAATTGGAGCAGATGGACAGCCAAAAGTATGCCGAGCAGAGGATTGGCGTAGCTCTGGAGCCAACTCAACTGTGGGTGTTCCTGACTCCCCGACCTATCATGACATCACTGCCTTTGTGAAGTTGGCAAAAGCCCTCAATCAGGAGACGTCGGCAAAGGAGGTTTTGCAGCTTTGGGGTCTAGACCATGAGTCCGCGTACAGACAATTTCCTGTGGCAGAGCCCAATGTCACGTGGGTGATTCTGCACACACCAAGCGGTCCGACGCTTTGGAAGCGCAATGTCTTGATGTTCGGCAGTACCGCGTCCGTGTGGAGTTATTGTCGAGTAGCTGATCTCATGGCATGGCTGTCACGTGCACTCCTCCTTGTTCCCTTGTTGCACTTCGTTGACGACTTTGGCTCCAACGAACCCGAGGACACCGTCGCCTCAGCCTTCGAGGAGACGCAGGCGATGGGCCGCGCCTTGGGCGTTAAATTCAAGGTGTCCAAGGCTCAGCCGCCAGCAAGGCAGCGCAAGCTTTTGGGTGTTTCGCTTTGTCTCGAACACGACCGTGCCGTTGTGGAGTGTACTGAAGAACGAAGGCAGCGGCTTGATTCAATGTTGCTGCAAGTTCTCTTAGACGATCAGCTTAAGCCGCGTGAGGCGTCAGCTATTGCAGGTAAGCTCCAGTTCATCGCCCAGTCCATGTTCGGGAAGGCGAGTGTGGCAGCAATTAGGCCATTCCATCAGCGCGCTCAACCTTCTTCGTTTAGCTCGCGGCAGACAGGTTGGCAGTTGAGTGTAGCCCTGAAGGCCGCTATTGCCTATTTGAGGCATCGGTTGGCGTGCGCAAAGCCCCGCGTCTTGCAGTTCCATGTTGCAGCCCGAACTGTCATCTATGCCGATGCGTTCTTCAGACTTGCAGGTCGCAGCTATAGGCTGTCCGAGGCAGACAGCGCCCCAGATTGGGGGAGAGAGAGCCCTGCGTCTTTTGTCAATGGCGTCGGCTTTGTGGTCTGCTTGAACGACCTGACTTTCTATGCTCATGGGATGATCCCGTACTGGTTCGTCAGGCACTTCACGAGCAGGAGGTCGTTCATATACATGCTTGAAATCTTGGCGCAGATTTTGCCGATTGTAGCCTTGGAACCTCAACTTCACCGGCGTTGTCTGATGTTTGTGGACAATGAGCCGGCCAAGCATGCCCTGATGAAGGGCTATGGAAAGGACGACGGCATTAATCGCTTGTTGCAAGCTGCGTGGGTCGTGCTTGAGAAAGCTTGCATTGAACCTGAGTGGCAGCGTGTGTCGAGCGCTGCCAACGTTTCTGACGGGGTGAGCAGGGGAGACTTGAGTTGGCGACCCGCCTGGGGTGGAAGCACTTCGACTTTGATTGGGAGGCCACGCTGCGAGTGTTGCTGGACACGTGCGTGAAGGGGCCTTTGAGGGCTTGTGAGGGCTCAAAGGTGCGATAGGATGGGCCGCATGCGTCGCACCTTTGGTGGCAGGTCGTGCCCCGTGCGCCTAAGTGCGAGGCGGGGACACGCCTACCGCCGCCTGCCGAGTCCAGCCAAAGAAGTGCAGCTTTAGTGTTTCTGCAGTGCGCTTGTGTGCAGCGATTCTTGTGTGTACTGCGTGTGTAGAGCGCGAGCATGTCGCGTGGAACACTTTGTGTGCGGAGTGACATGAGCGAGCGTCGGAATGCGCAGAATATGCGGCTCGAGTCAGCCCAGATCCGCCAGGAAATTTCGCGCCCTCCCACTCCGCCCATATCGGTGGGGTGGCAGGTCGTGCCCCGTGCGCCTAAGTGCGAGGCGGGGACACGCCTACCGCCGCCTGCCGAGTCCAGCCAAAGAAGTGCAGCTTTATATAGTGTTTCTGCAGTGCGCTTGTGTGCAGCGATTCTTGTGCGTACTTGCGTGTGTAGAGCGCGAGCATGTCGGCTCGCGCAACCAACGACATGATGCACAGAAAGAGGACAGAAAGAAAACACAACTGATTGAATTAGTATAAACAGAGCGACAGAAATTGGATGATAATCTCTCGGTTCAGGATCAAGGAATCAACACAGCACCCCCAAACACGAAGTTACACCTGAGCACTTCGAAGCCCAAAACTACAGACCCAGCGAGGACGTGACGCGTCTGCAAGTGCTGAAACCATGCGTGTTGAACATCGCAAGAAAGATACATGATGTTCGAAACAAAGCAGGTGCGATGCTCAGGAAACATCGGCAGGCGTGCTACGCCGCTACGCGCAGCAGCCGCAACAGACTTTATGGGGTCCTTGACGGAGCGGGGTATGTATTCCAAGTTTCTGTAAACTCCCCACTACTCCCTAAGCTTCCCAAGGTTCCCTAGGAGCCTACCCCCCATGAACTTTATCTTAAGGGTCCTATCACAGTTTCAGTGCACACAATCCCCAGCGGGGAGGTTTCTGAGGTGCGGGATTGTTCCCTTCGTGTAAAAGTTTTTTTGTAAAGTGCTGCACATCAAAGAGGAAGACTATGAAGGCCACGGCTGGAGCTCCCCCCAACCAAGCCCAGAAGAGATCGAATATGAAATCGCTTCAGCGCTTGATAAATGTTGTTTGAGTGCCTCAGCTGAAAATCTTCTGAGCTTTCATATGACAGTTCTTGTGGGTTGTAAGGGTTCAGGGGCATGGTCAGAAAGGGCCATGGCCATCGCGGACAAGCATGGAATGCTCGATCTTCCTCACGCCTGTGGAAGCTGTTTCTTCTTCTCTTCCCGGACATGGGCATGCATGTTTCCACTGAAGATGCTGTCCGGAATCATGATCAGTGATCAGGCATGTGTATCATATCCGTGCAACCATGCACCTTCAAGTTCGTGGCCTACAAGGTGAGTTGGGCTAGTGTTAAGTAGCCGCCTGGTCTGAGTGACTGGCATGGCCGCTCGGAATGGTTGAGTCTGCCAGCGGAGGCCTCAGCAGAGTTTCTACATTCATTAAACCTTTCTTCCCAAGATGCCTTAATCCT